GTACAAACGTCTATGTAACTTATTTCATTAGATTTGCTTGTTACTAACAGATCTATATTCTTTATTATGATTTTTGTTTCTCAATTAAACTTTCAGGTTACCTAGTAAGTAAACGAAAAATACAAAAAAAAAAGAGTAAAACAAGAAGATGTAATCAATATCCTCGTCACCTTCATTATCGTTATCATTTTAATTCAGTCATCGTTCAAAATAAATTTCGTTTTTCAAAAAAGGTAAAACAATTTCACTAATTGATTATTTTTTTCCCAGGAAAAAAAACTTTTTTCTCCCTGAAGTGAATCAATCTATAATAAAGGAGAGATAAAAAGGTCATTTAAAGTGACAAATGTGTGAATATACTGTAGGCAAAAATTTAATTGAAATTCCAATCGTTTATTTTGTCTTTCTTCTTTGAATAGAACAAAAAAAATATAGAACAATTCGTGAAGTAAAGAATTGATTCTTCGGTGAAAAAGAAATCAATATTCAATGAATTAGAAGAAAATTTGGAAACATAATTATGAATGTCTAAATTTAATTAAAACATGTATATGCATTTATTTCAATAAATTATTCATTTAATAAGATTGAGTTGCTAAGAAATTGATTAGAAAAAGAGGAGAGAAAAAAGTAAAAAATTGAATGGGAATGATGATTAATTAAGCGGATATTTGTATAATATAACTACATATAAATAAGGATTAGTTAAAAGTTGGTATGTGTATAGTTATTTTTTCCTATCAGATAACTAACTGGTTAATCAATTGAAATTTATATGTATTTCATAAATATAAGATTCTCACCTATACTTGAGTTTGTATATGCATGAATTATTAAGCGATTTAATTAAGTTATTTAATAGACAATGTCATCGGGTCGGTAGAAATTTGTTTATATCTTTGTATTATTGTTATCATGTTTGTATGATCACGAATAAGTGATCATGTATTTAAGTGTATACATATATTCCTCTTACTAACTTATATGTTGGCTAGTTAAATCACTCAACATATATATATGCCTCTAAAATCTCATTCATTTGGACTCATTCACATCCGTATTTACTTGTGTTTGCATCGTGTACTTGATGGTCTTTTAATTTATGCTGTACGTTGATAAACTATTGTCATCATATCATATCATATTGTTTAACGTTGGAGAGTTATCTAATAACGATTATCAGAACGAGTGATGTACAAAGTATAGGAATTATCTCGAAAATACTCAACTACAATAGTATGATGAATTACTATTAAATTTAATATCATGTTCGTTACTGAACAGATAGTGAACAACTGTTAATTCACCATAAATATACAACAGATCTTTCAGTTGTATAAAAGTTGCTGTATTTAAAATAAGAACAAAATAACTTAAACTTAGGTAATTGCAATTAGATAACCCACAAACTCCTCATCAATTCAATATCTCCCTTCTTTGTCTTTGTAAGACGTCTTGGTTACCGACAGGTAGTTGTTTAAAAAATATTTGAATGATTATTTAAACTTTGCTTTCATATCTTATACAATTATCATTCTTAAAGACATGCCAAGCAATAAATCAGCTTATACATATATCGATTAAATCGACTCTCTCTATTTACTACAATTCTATGTGTCTCACAAGTGTCTTATTTAGAAAATCAAATATCCGTATATCGTTTACGATTAGCATCCTGAAAAAAAATAAATTAGAAGATATGCTTATCGAACTCTACATGAAATGTAGGAAGGGGATGTAAAATGAGAACATAATGAAAGTAAAAGTGAAGTACGGAAAATTATACTAAGAATTTAGGTTGAAAAAAATTAATAAGATGACATTAAGATTGAGAGTCAAACTTAGTAAAAAGGATAATTGAGTCCGCATTACATTAAGTAATCCATTGATTTTTATACCATTTTGTGATAAGTTATAACTTGTATCTGCCTAGTTATCTTTTCAGGACGTAAGATAAATAACCTTCTGACAACCGGAGCAACAATTAATATAGAAGCGTAAAAAGTCAGCAGAGTTTGAGAGACCTAGAGGACCAATTTATTAGCTGCAAAAATGAGAAGATACTATCTGGAGGTGCTTGGAATAACTAAAACTCATTGGACACAAGCTGGACAAAAGTATTAGCTACGGTTTAAGTGTTGTTGTATCCTATTTATAAAGAAGAGAATAGCTCAAACACAAGGGTTTACACTATTGCTCTCCAAAGAAGCCAAAAAAGCGCTCATTGGATAGGAGTCTTATTAATTCAGGACAATCAGAACGTCCTTCAAAGGAAGGGAATATAACGAATGAAACCAAGAGCTATGCACCAATCAATGATAGAAATGAAGACGATAAGCATCAGTTTCACAAGAGGCTGTTGTGGATTGTAAAGAAACTTCAACGAGAGACCTGACCATTATGATGGATGACCTAAATGCCAAGATGGAAGTTGAAAACACCGGTTTTGAAGATATCATGAGATAACATGAACTGGGAGAAAGAAACGAAAATGACGGGAACATGCAGATGTATTTGCTCTCAAAAAATAGTGATAGGTGTTAACAATTTCTCCGCCAACACATACGCAAAGTTACATGAGTTTCACTGGATCAAACCACAGATAACGCAATCGACCATATTTGCATCAAAAAATGTTCAGAAGGTTCGTGAAAAACATGAGAACAATAACAGGAGCTAATATGAATTCAGAATACCACCTGGTACTGGTCAAGATGAAACTGAAGCTAAAGAACCATTTGACAAATGGAAAAACAACACTACAAAGTTTTAATATAGTCTTCCTACGAGATGTTAACTAACTCAGCATGTTCAAATAAATTCCATGCCCTACCAGTTCTACTCAAAGAAGCTAAAACCACTGTCAAAAACGAACGAAAACGGATTGAAGAATTTCTCAAACATGCCAAAAATGACTGAGTCACACAAATCACCAACATAAACAATGGATCCCTATTAATGCCATGGGAATCATTCAAAAAAAGAAGACACCAATCAATAACAGTCGAAAAGGAGAGCAGAAAATCAAGGCACATGTCAAATACATGGAAGCAAACAAGCGAGTGAAGAGAAGCGTTATATGCGACAAACAGAAATATGTATACTTCCTGACAGCAACAGTGGAAAACTCTTCAAGAGGATGAAATTTGAGAGGACGATATGATACAACCAAGAATCTTGTGGGGATATATAACAAACCAGAGCAATCAGTTATGGACAAAAACAGCAAATTTATCACTGAGTTTCAAGAACAGGGAAAAAGTGTGTAGAGTACTTTGAATAGCTCTTGAATAAACTAGCTTCTGTGAACCCACGGGACATCAAAGCGGCAAATACAGGCCTTTCTATACATTCCCATTCGGTAGCGACCGAAGAAGTCAGGATAGCCACCAAGCGAATGAAAAGTGGGAAAGCAGCGTGACCAAACAGCATACCGGCTGAAGCACCGTAGCCGAAATTAGAGGTAACTGCAAAAGATGCTCCACACTCACTTCAGAAAGATTTAGGAGGAAGAATAAGTAACAGCAGATTAGAAAGAGGGATATGTCATCAAAACTATAGAGGTATGACAAGTCAATCAGTACCAGAAAACGTTTTAGACAGTGTTCTTAAACCGAATGGAAAATTCAGTGGACGCCCGAATTCAAAATCAACACACTGGATTCCATAGTGATCGATCGCGAAACTACTAGCAATAAATTGAATGGAACTCATCACTAGACATCAACTTCCTTGACTACGAGAAAGCAATTGACAGAGCGAATAGAAGAAAATTATGGGATTTTCCTCAGCACTACGGTGTATGTGTAAAAATCGTCAACATCCTACGGAATACATATGATAGACTATACTGCCAGGTTATACATAAACAGTTCACAAATGTATTCCAAGTGCGGACTGGTATCAGACAAGTTTGCTCATTCTTGCCCTTTACCGTTCCTGTTCAAAATTGACTAGATTATGAAAAGTTTTACAATACAGGGGTGAAATAAATTTTATTAGAATTCTTAATCAACATCTACTTCCTACTACATGTGCCATTATATGTTTGACAACTAATATTTTTGATAAACATCATCAAGCTGCAGATAAAGTTTTCATATTGCTTGTGATAAATTTTAAAAAAATTGTTATTCTCAAATTTGAAGTGCAAACCCTTTAGCATATAATTAAGATAAACCATCCATTTATGATGATGAAGGGAATATTGAAAAATGGTCAAGGGAGAAATCATAAAATCTCAATTAAACACCATATGTTTTAATAAATGATAAAACATCCTTATATTTACATTTCACTCAATATCCCATATGAAAAAAATGTTGAAAAGATCAAGCCTCACTAAATCTATATCAATAATTGATTTTCACATTTAATTGAGTAGTAATAATCTAAGTTTGCAGTTATTTGATCGTTCCTAATACCTTTTCTTTGAATAGTTCATATGAAAATCTTATCAAAATGAACTAACATTTTATATCAGATCAATCATTAGCATTACTAAACTAATTTAATACTCTATAGTATAAAGGAAAAGAAAGTGTTAAATATAGAATATGTGCAATTTGATATTAGTAAATGTGTAAACTATGAAATAGATTGATAAAAATGTAATTTCTATTAACTCATATTCTTACTAATCCTATTCATATATTCATATACTCCATTTTAATATGATAATAGAATAATAATAATAAAGTGAAGCATGATTATCATTTTATCTTACAGCTATTCAAGATTCAATATTATCTCAATTTACTAAAGAATACCATATAAGCAACTTTTTTCTTGATATTATTATATGAATAAGTATACACCACATAGTTCTGATAATCATTGTCTTCTTATTACACTATTGAAATAAGTAAAACAAATCTAAATTGCCGTAAGCTTTACGTCTACAATTCATGTAATCAAACAAAGTTATGTAATCGTAACATATTAAAACAGCTTTTGGCATAATAAACATATAGAATGTTAAAAACAAATTTAAGACTTACTTTAAAATTTGCCTCTAGTACAATAGAAACTGGTGCACTCATAACAGATAATAATAAATTATGTATTTGATATATTAATTTTGCTAATAAATCTTTTTGTAATGTACTACTAGCATCTAAGCATAAAATGAATCTAGTTTGTTGTGTATTAGTGAAACGGTCAAATGTAACTGATAAATTACAAATTTTAGCAAATTCTGATTTAATGAATAAATCTGCTTTACATGCTTTTTGTTCTTCAGCTGTTATAGCTAAATCTTTAAATGATGCTGAACTAGAATATAATACAGTTTCATTAATTTTTCCAAATGATTTCGAATTAAAAAATTCTTTATCTATATCATTATTAGTTTGTAAAAATGATGTTAATGCAGTTTTTACAGGTGTAATTGGATTCATTAATAAACCTTTAATATTCTTAATAATGATGGTAATGATCCAACAAAACTAAGAAACATTATTGAACTCATAATAACAAATAATGAAAGTAAACCACCATGTCCAAGTAATTTAGCTAATTGACCTGAGTATAAACGCATGATACTAGTAGAGATAAGGAATGCAATCCAAAAAGCTATCATTACAACAAATGCAGGTAAACAGCATACACGTTTATATTTAATATTTGGATTTCCTATTATAAATTATAAAAATAAAAGAAGAGAGAATTATAAATTATCACAATGAACATTTATAAAGATTGTAGTAAGTTTAACAGTTAAATTTATGATTCGATCAAAGCTAGACCATTATTGAAAACCTGAAAGTAGTGAAAGACCGTTTCTTTCCAGTATAGGACATCTCAGCAATGAGGGTGAAGGATCGTGTATGCGCACTCTTGAGGAGTCTCATACTGAAACGAAACGGTCGTCTAGTGTTTCTAGGTTCACAATGATGGTCTAGCTTTGGTAGAATAACGGATTCAACTGTTGAATTATAAATTATACAAACAAATTTGTTAAAATATTTCTAGCATTATTATTGTTAAAGCATATAGTTCGTAGTTTTTTTAAAAATTAAAATGCTCGAAGTCCATATTGTTATCATGAAAACTCCATTCGTGAACTGTAGAAACAAAACGCGGATGTTAAAGTTTTTTACATCTTAATTTCTTGCTGGACAATATCTGTTTCTACTATAGTTGGAAGGCTACAAAATATTGGTAAGGAGAATATATTTTAGATTGGCAAGTTATTATCATTCGAGGGGAGTTAGGTAAACGTAAACAACAAGATTTATATAATATCTGCTGTGATAATAGTCTTCAAGCCGAATTAGGGACATTTTTGAATAAGAGTGAGGAGATAAAGATGAAGGTGAGTAGTAGATGTTTTCACTACGTATCTCATGTAAACAATAAATATTAGGAATAGGATACGCACCCCCTATAGTTGGGCAGATTATAACATGGTGGCAGTGATGACGTTTCTGGATATAGATCACATTTCTACAATCCGTTTCTTATAACTTTGCCAAGTAAAAGGGAAGTGATATTATCAAAGATGTCATATCAAATATGTGATGCATTGTCTACCTAGTTGCAATGCTCATAGTGTACTAAACGATAATAATTATGTTAAATTTAGACACAAAAACGTTTTTTTACAAGCCACATAGATAAACAGAGAGACATGGAGTGTTTTGAGTACGTAATATGGTTGAGAAATTGAATGGTGTGTATACTTCAAAGCAAATAAACTTCCAAGAAGAAAATTTATCTGAATAATGAGATTATCTCATTAGAATTCTAGAAATCATCATTAGATTTGTTATAATCAAATGATAATCAATTATATTCACAGCGAATATTTTGAAAAACAACTAATGTATTTGTTCTCTACGAAAATAAAAAAATACGTGAATAAGACAATTTGGTGAACATTAACTAAAGTCGTCTAGTTAACGCAGTAATATCGGTAACTTTGATATTGAAGAAAGAAGAAATTGAATACATTCGGTAAGTTTTGATCTAATTTCGCCAAATTTAACTATGAGATAATAAAACAGTTAATTACCTTATGACTAACAGAAACATAATAACTTTTGATGATGAGAATTCATTTGCTGCCCTTAAAATAATACTTACTTGCCTACTTACGCCTGGTACTCCCAGTAGAGAATAGACCAACGACCAACATTCTCAACCCACTCTGTTCTGGGCATTTCTTTCTAGTTCTATTCAATTTTTGTTCATTGCTCTCATGTCTGCCTCCATTTTCGGACGTTGTGTTCTTTGGTTTTCCTCTCCTCCTTTAGCCTTAAGGACTTCAAGTGAGGGTTCGCCATGTGACGCAGTTGGGTGCTTTCCTCAATGTGTGTCCATCCACTTCCTGATTTCTTCCTCCGCTGGGATATGGTTTGTTCTCTCCCACAGTAATGTCTGGCCGTCGGACTCCACGTATCTTGCGTAGACAACAGTTAATAAACACTTGTATCTTCTGGATGACGGCTTTCGTAGTTCTCCAGGTTTCCGCCCATACAGTAGAAATGTTTTGACATTTGTATTGAAAATTCTGACCTTGGTGTTAGTTGACAATTGTTTTCGGTCCCAGATGTCCTTCAGCTGTAAATATGCTGCTCTTGCTTTGCCGATCCGCGCCTTCACGTCTGTATCAGATCCACCGTGTTCATTTATGATGCTGCCCAGATATGTAAAGGTATGTAAATCTTTTAAATCTCCGTCAAATGTGAATTGATTTGTGCATGTTTTGTTGCATCGGAGAATCTTGCTTTTCCCTTTGTGTATATTGAAACCTACTGCTGTCGAGGCTGCTGCTACTCTAGTCGTCTTCTCCTGCATTTGTTGTTGCGTGTGCAATAGGAGGGCCAGGCCCTTAAAATATATTTATTACATTTTCAATTAAAATTATTAATTCCATATACAGAAACAAAGTTCAACTCTAATTCACTTTAACATTTAAAACTTTTTTTGGTTCTTGTAATTGTTATCACGAAAACAGACTATGTTGTTGAAATCCAAATTTCATTTAGACAATGATCAAGACTTCCGACATAATTGGATATATTTTCTTTCACATAACTACTGTTCAATTCGATGTATTAAACAAACATTTGATTAGGTTAATCAAGTGGTTTGATCATTTATTTTTCTATTATGTTAATATGAAAGTTGATTGAGTTCTACTAATTCTGGTTTAAGTGATTATCAGATCTATAAAATGTTAACTAACTTGATATATTCGATAGTCTTATCGTTTATGCTCAAAACCATTTTGGTAGCTAACTGAAATATTTTGTTCAAAAAAATTTCAGAGCTTTATCCGAAAAGACTCAGTTCTAGTTTCAATAAGTCAATTTGTACTTTTCTTCAAGAGTTAACTAATAAAAAAATTCAGTAGAATACTTACCAGAAGGTTTTCCAGCCCTCTGGAGTCTGATTAAAATTTGTCCATAATGTCGGACTAAACCAAACCACATTTTTTCAACTAATGAGAATAACGCTATATTTGTTGTTGAAGACGGGCATATCCGATGATATACAACAATAACTCTATTATAAACAAAATAAACAAAATCAGTTGGATAAAATATGGAACAACTAATTCACTAAAAAATATTAAACGTACATCCGAAAGTGCTAAACATAACGTACTGATCAGTCGGTTATTTTAAATGATCTCTATGATAAGTGATTAAGAACATTTGATACAAAGCCCTTGACTTAGCCTTTGCGCAACATATCATTCAACGACGTAGGATATCTACAGCCATGATGATCTCAACTGGCAAAACACCTGGGCCACTTATTTTCTTTACCTATTTTAAGCTTGCCATAACCGATTATCCATGCATTAGAAAGCTCAATTAGCTCAATTGTTAAAAAAACTCCAGCGACATTCTATACAATGTGCTACAGCTGTTGGTTGATTATCCAGATTATATATCTTTTGGTGTAGTTAGAATTAAGCAAATTGGAAATTATACATTAAATATAACGTGATAAAATAATATTCGGATATTAGAATTAGTCAAACGGTTTGTGAAAAACAGAATGACTATTTTTAAGTTAAACGGATATAAGACGGAAATCAGTCATAGTAATGTGCAACGCTGCTGAGATTTATATATATACAAGTTCTTAGTGTTAGCTTTAAATGATAACTTGTGTAACTTGGGAAACACGTTTAACTTTCATCAAGTTTCAGTGTATTCTTTGAAGCTCAATGCTTAAAACCACATTCATAATATTACAAATTTTACAAAAAAGGTTTATCCTTATTGAATTATTATAATGAAGAACAAATTAGCCTACTATAATCCTGAAACATTGTTTATCACTACAGCCTAAAATTTGTTAACAATTAATCTCTTCATATTTATGATAGATCTTAGTGCTTATCAATCAAACGATGTCTATATAAATTATCTGACATTTCTTAAATACCAAATGACAAATTGACATAAACATTTCGTATTTGGTTTCAATTCTTAACGAATCACATAGTGTTTTTCTTTTTTTTCTTTTACTTAGAATCAATGAATATCACAAATCATATCTTGTACAGAACAATGATTGATAGCCAGAAGGAAATTCTGCTCAAATTAATTGTAACCTAATGCCTATGAATCAACCAACAACAACAAAAAAATGGAAAAAGAAAAAAAAACGGAGAAGAGAGTTTTGTCTGAATCAGTAAAGAAAAATCAAGTTTTTATTTCATAATTGATAACGATTGATTAACTTTGATTTCTCTCAAGAGATTTGATACTTGAAGATAATTTTACTCTTCAAATAATAATTTAAATCCTTGTTTGACAGTTTAAATTTGTAGGAAAGTGTTTTACAATTTTTTTTTCTAAAAAAAGAAAAACTGACGTGGTTTAATCTTATGAACTTGTGATTGGTCAGAAAAAAACTAAACTCACTAACACCTTTTCAACTTAGAAACAGATTTTTTTAGTAAACAAAAAAATCAAGTATCTTGCTTGTTCTCCCTAATAGAAAGATCATATTGTACAGTGGGGAATTTGTATGTTTGCTTGAACAATGTCAGCTAATATAACTACACGATAATAACAGTGTATTATTTTTATTTAGTTACATTTAAGCATGATATTTTCTATTGGAGAAAAATTGAAAAATCTATCAGGTTAGTTTATAGCGATTTCGTAATATGGAAGCATATATATATATATATATATATATATATATATATATATTGCTGAGATGTTCATGAAGATAAAGTTTTAAATGAAGAGATTTCAGTGCTGAATAAATCACTCTTTGTTGTAGCAGTAAATATGTTTTAAGAAAAGAAAATTCTAAAATTTCTTATATTAAATAGCTAGAGAACTTAAATGGGGAAGAATGTATTTGTAAATCTCAGTGAAAGAATTTGAAGTAAATCCAACGTTTCACCTGGCAATCTGGCTCAAGCTTTTTTTAAGGAAATGGCTTGAGAACTGTTCGAATATACACGAGAAATATAAAAGATCTGACAGTTTCGGTATTAAAGTAAAATGACATTTTTATTGAAATAAACAGTAAGGTGAGGTTCAGAAAACGATTATGCGTTTTAATAAGACAGATTGAAAAGGAACGTATTCATTTAGTGATTAATTTGCCATTCGGATACTTTACCGATTGTATGGGATAAATAGAGTTTTGTTTATTTGTTGGAAATATTTACTATCTGTAAGCTGTTATAGACGTTTTGAAATTATATACAGTCCATTTTGATTATATTTGCATAATATTATTAAGTGAAGAAAAGTTACGGAATTGAATGCTTCAAAACTACAGTTATTCATCATCTTACCTGACTGGTGTTTTAGTATTTATTGATTTGACAGGATAACAAAAACAGATATTTAAAAAGAGTTTAATCCATTGAAGAAAACAGGCTATTGAATAGCTGGCACGTATAGCAATTGGTTTTTGACAAAATCGAGATCCTGTTATAATCAATGCTAAAATAAATATAAACAAAAAGAAACATGATTATATGAAGGCTAGTCATTGACTTTTATCTTCACAGTATTTTTAACAGATAGAATGCAAAACCTTAATATTATAGACGGAAAAATATGAACAACATGGTATTTATACTTGCTTCTTCACATCTGTTTATGGGCATTTAATTATGTTTACGTATAGTTGCTGGAAAAGTTATATTTAGACAAATACAACTTTAGTCAGCTTTAAAACAAAAGTATCTCATAGTTACCAAATTTCTGATTTACCCTGAATGAATTGCAAAACCTTTTTAGTAAATCATAAATGACTTGCACTGACTCTACATCACTTTCCTTGATTGAAATATGTCAGTTCATTTGATAGTATCTTATGAAGTGTTTCCTTTTTTTACAGAAGAAAAGTTATAATGTAACTGTTGATTTTGTGAAGATAATCTGGTACTTAACTGTCTTTATTTAACTATGATTTAATTTGCCACCAACAATAACAATACTTAAGGTTTCATGCAAAATATAGAGAGAATATAATGTACGCTTTCTAGTTTTACAACTAAACAACAGTTAATAATACTAAACTTCGTTTCTTGACTAATTTTTTTAGTAGGGAGGTTTTCATTTTCAACATACAGTTCTTTAAACTATTCTTCTAAAATGAATTGCGATTAAAATAAATAATTTAGTCTTCAGGAAAATCAGATATTATCTGATTAATAGCGAATAACTTAAAATCTGTTATTGAAACTCTGAATGATATATTTCTATTGTGTAAAGTAAAACTGTCAATTATGTTTTTGAATGAGATCATGAACCGATTGATGATAGACCACCATTGAAACCTAAAAAAACTAAATGGCCATTGCGTCCTATTGTGGGACTGGTAAGCAGTGAGCATCCAAGATCCCACAAGCGGGATCCAGGCCCAAGAAATTTGGTCTCGCTCACGAACGCTTAACTTCTAAACCACTGAATCGGCATTGAACGGTGTTAATGTCTAACGGCAACTAACCCACTAAATTACATGACCATCTTCTATTGTAGTGATGTAGATACCTGTCTCTAGCTGACATAGATCAGCTTCACTGGTCACGGCTTTTCACTAGAACTCTGAGAGTTCCCTCACGAAGCTAGTCGCTAGTGAGCACATGGTAATTTTAAGTATGGTGTTGTGGAGATTATTAAGATTTTGATTGAGATCACTGGTTGAGGTTAAACATTAACATGGTTTGATGCCGACTTCAGTGGTCTAGAGGTTAAGCCCTGTGTTCGAATCTTGCTAGCATGATCGTGGATGCGAACTGCTTACGAGTCTCACAATAGGATGAAATGGCAGTCTAGTGCTTCCAGGTTTCAATGATGGTCCAGCACCAGTCGGTCCATGATCTCAATCGAAGCTTAATAATCTCCAAAACCCCATACTATTGACAATTATATTGTTAAAATGAGCTGCTTAAAAGAAATCCAAATTTTTCATTATAGTGACATCAACAAAAATAATCGATTTGTTTAACAAGTCGACTGATTGCTTATAACATCAGATATCTCTTTTATATACACTTTGAAGTTTACAATTGATTAATGTAACTATGATTTTATAGCAATTGATAACTGATAAATCATAACTTATTATCATTAAGTACAGACATAAATGTCCTTTACTTTACCTTTAAAAGTGAAAGAAAATTAAATGTGTAAATATGAAACAAAATATTATCAAATATTAGAAGTTCACTAAATCTTATTGACTATTATAATTATTATTACTATTATTATGTTCTCAATTCTATGTCTGATAATCTGATTAAGTCATGCATTACTGGGTCACGAAATAAACGCATGAGAAAATCTATGGTGAATAAACAGTAAACTACTAGTTTAATTAAACATTCATACAGTAATTTCTTTCCTTCAAAAAAATGATTGTTTTTTTTCTACATTTGAAGTTCACTTGAGGAAAAAAACTAATAGCTGGATAATAAATAATAAATAAGAAAGTAAGATGAATCTAATAGTGAAAATACTATTATTCCTATCAATGTTATCAATATAATCATGAAAGAGATGAATCATAACTACCAACAGCCTTTTGTCTTGGTTGGAACTCATCAACTCAATATATCTGTCTCTGTCCTAATCCTCATAGTACCCAATAACTCACATTTCAAATGCCCGTCACGTTATCCACTAAGCTACTAAGTTCAGACAGTCATTTATTTATAAAGTGGACATAAATTTTCAAATTTATGTGTAAATGTCATTTCATAGTTAGTATTGTTGACTGAAGTTGTGTTCCACGGTGGTCACAGTTCATCTCTTCTATAAATAAATAAATATGTCTTGAGAATCCGCTGGGGATGCAAATACGACAGCTAAAAAGATTAAAATTCGGTCATGAATTTCATCAACGCGATAACATAAACATTTACAAACTAAATTATCACTTCGCAATTTCTATCACTCTATACATTGGTTGGTAAAAAAGGCAATATAATACAGAAGGACGCAAACTTTTCTTCCAGTCAGCTCTGAACTGAAAAACAAAAGTTTACATGTTTTTGAACGAATTATATTAAAAAAATTCAGACTCTTTTACAATAAAAATTTTATTACTTATTTCTATTTAAAAATTAGTTCGCCTAGTGTTGAATCCACTTCTTTCTTCATAAATTAATAACCCTTTTTTAGGAAGGATGAATGTAAAACGCTAAAGAACAGAGATAAGTATGTTGGTTTTGAATAGACCTAATGTGTTAAATATCTACTGAGGCTGATGAATACAATATGGCTAATAAAGGTTTTCATTATAACGTAGCAATTAATTAATGTTTCGATTGACAGAAGAGTCTAATGTTACAACCAACGATAGAACCAAAACGAACAAGTAACCAATAACAGGTTTAAGGTCAACAAGAACCAATCAACATTGATTTGTACAAGACAAGCTGTGAACCACATGCAGAGAAATTCGAACACTTCACTTCTACCTGAAGTTTGTGCTGATGATGTCGTTCAGAAGAACGATGAAAGCTGCACGACCTCATCATCCAGCTCAGAGAATAAAACTCCATCAGAAAGTCTAGCGGTTTCTACAGTAATGACACTAGAATACTGTAGGATTTAGGAACAATTTGGATTCAACCATTTCTTTCAACTCAATAAACTATTTGCTTTCTTTATATTATTGTATCCAATTAAACTCTCACTTGCCTAATCTCACGATATATTTCTCTTTAGTTTGTTTATTTTGTACGTATTCTTCAGGTGACTTCTTTCATTTATGTAATATCCAAAGGACTCATAGAGATTACAAGTTATTCATGGAATATGCTAAATCTCAGCCACATGTCAATACGGAGACGACTAATGACTCTTTTATTTCCTAAAAATAATGTTACTATGATATCGTGTAAGCTCAACGATTCGAACTCATCATATTTATATAACATTCACATTTCTTTTCTTTTATTAAAAATAAATTCCCTAAAACTGGAATTCAGTTAGTACTTCTAAATAATATCAACGTAATATACTGATATGTTGTTACTTTTTAAAACTGAAACAAGGTATTTCCCATTACACGAAAACAAAATTTTGTTATATACAGATTATGAACACCATATTACAAACTGAATGTGATTATATACTTAGACCGCTGGATACTGGCCTTGTCATCTGAAGGTTTAGCTCTTGGTTTCAATCTTGAAGGTCCTGAGTTCAATTTCCTATCGGATATTTGGTGAGCACAGCTGAAGTGTCCCTTAGTAAAATTAAATAATTATTTACACCAACTGTCTAACATAAGTCAGTTCTTGTCTCGCTTAAAACTTATTACAAAAAATCCAAAATAACTTTTCTCGAATTACCAAGGTATAGTATTACAGTGCAATAAGAGGGAGAAATATGCCACACTCATTAAACTGATTCAATAAGTACTGAACAACGTCGGAAGTCTCGTTTACACAAATTATCAGAGAAGATTTCATTTCAGTAAAAAATTTAGAAAATCTGGTCGATTTGGGAATGGAAATTTTTCGATTAATATACACTTGAAAATTGAATTTCTGGAACATCATAAATATTAATAAGACTAAAAGGAATTTTTAGTAATATAATGATGTTGCTGGAGTAATAGTTTATCTGAAATATTTGTCTGACAAGTGTTTATTTCAATTTTAGTTTACCTATAGGATTGAACCAAAATATAATTTTGTCAGAATGAGGGTCTGTGAAGATTATAGTAATTTAATGAGTGAATTTAAGCCAGGCTACCATGGAAAACCTAGAGTCACTTGACAACCGTTTCGTCCTAATATGGATCTCCTCAGCAGTGCTCATCCACTATTCCGCAGTAGATAATTTTAGTATCTAAGTAATAAAATAAAGTTTGATAAGTAATATGGTGAGTTGATAACAGACTCCAATAATATTCCTGAGTAAAATGCATACGATGAGATTTTACAGTCAAAGCACTTAGTTCAATAATTCAATCAACATTCTGCGATTTTATCCTCCACCATTAAAACTAGGATGTGAAGTAATAACAACTAATGAGAATCAAAGATTGTTATTGGAACAGTTATAGCAGTATTTCAAAGAATCATATTTTATAAACTAATAATCGGATATTCAAACAAACGTTTATGGAATCAGCAAACAAATAAATTTAGCTTATCTAAAAACTCCCAATATAACTATCTATTTAAAACATTACATAATACGGAAGCATAAGTATTGACAAATACCTTAAAATTTGAGCTTCACTTAAATACAAAAAAAAAGGGTTCTGTAACCGTTTCCAGCTGAATCATAGAAATTCTCTCTATTATTACTTTAATCCACTTTATCTATTACTATTCTTTTAGTCAAGAGCATATAAACAAAATATTCCTTCTAAACTCTGAAGAAAAGTTAGTTTAATTAAATTTACTATTTTTTTTATAAAAAAAAAGGAACGAATTATTTTTTTTAATTATATTTTCTAATCACTCTAAGCGACT